ATGATGCTGCTTGGCCTGCTGTGTTCATCCAGCTCTACATCTTGTTGCCTAAAGCCACAGTTAGGTTATTTGCATATGCAAATTAGGGTCCAACAACTGGATTTGGAAAATGAACTGCCACCCCACCAATGAAACTCTCTTGTTAAAAATAGCCAGCAGTTGCATTAAGTCCAATTGTACCAGATTTGAGCACTTAATTTCACTCCATGCCATGAGCGCTTTGCCTGAAGGCAAGTCCTTGGCTCATAACCCCCTGATGCTTAATCCTGAGCTGTTTCCCTTAGCAGTTCTTGTCAGTCAATGCTGGTTTGTCATTGCCTTCCAACCTCAGTGCAGGGTGTAGAGGTGGGTCCCAAGACTACTGTAGCTGGAACAGGAATTGAAATCAGCTGCTGGTATTATTCTGAACCACACATAGTCAAATGGCTGGAGCTATCTAGACTTTCGTTTTACCTAAGATTTCTTAAAGGAACACTGAAAGCTGTTCAAAAACAGTTCTAAGATACTTTCAGTTCTCAGCTTCTGAATTCAGAAGGGCAGCTCCTCATGAGTTCACAAAACAAAGGCTGACTGCTGCAATGTTCAGACACATCCACATTTTCCTAGCCCAAAAGAAAGACCTCTCTGACAGTCATTTTCCAGTCCTCCACAACCATAGAACACTTGTGTGGTATCTGCAGCTCACTGGTTCAATTTAAATGAAGCCATTGATTGAACTGAACTTGACCTCAGGCTACCAGCACAGAGAATTCACTTAATATAGACACATCTTGAAACTCTAGCCCCATAAATTCATCACTTTTACCATTACCTTCTCTTGATTTTGTACTATTTTATTTGGAAATGTTGCCAGCTTTATATAAAATAGTTTTCCTATATTTTCATTACAATTTTAAGTTTTAGAAAACAAAACCTCAGCATACTTTCTGAATAAACTTATTTTCTTTTGAACAGAATATTCAAAACAGCATTGTATGTATTTATAGCTTGCCACTCATAGTAGATAATAAACATTGATTATTCTTCCGAATGATTATAGACCAGGCAGTTTTGATATGCACAGACCTATTGTCTGGGGACACTGATCCCTCTGAAGATGCTCCATGGTACAGATTTTGAGATAACCTGTTGTCAGGTCTAAGTTCTTTGTCATATGCCATCATATTCCATTCTTGGCGCCTGTTCTTGGCCTTTCTAACTTTTTTCACCTCACGGGTTGTGCCATCTATACGCTTCTGCTCCTAAGGTATGAAGAAAGCATGCCAAAAGATAGAATGACGAGACATAGCGTGGGTAAATTTTGTTAGCATAACAGAAAGAAAGTGTGATGCTTAAAAGAAGGAATCTTGCAAATTGTACCAAAAGCCGCGTAATTTTTATTTTCACCCATTCCACACCCCCAAACCCCCAAGGTATGGACTATATGTATATATAGGATATATATATATAATATATTCAAAAATTTTGGATCTGCATGTTGTGTTCAAGTCAATGATACCTTTGTGAACACAATTAGTTTGTATAATTTTCACTTCCATGAAAGAACTAAACAGTATATGAAATTCCATCAGAAACAGTAAAATTTCTTACTTAAAGTGTGATCAATGTTGTTAAAGAGTATGAAAAGCAAAACTGTCAAAATGCAAGAGGCACACACTAAAACAGAATTATAATAAAAAATTGTTCAAAAAAGAACAACTGATGCAGTTATGTTTGAGTTCCATTTTGTTGGAACAGTTGTGTTATTTTCATGCTTTTTACACTATACCTTAGTAAAGCTCCTTTCAGGCATCGCACAAATTTAACGTTAAGGTGCAAAAATTGAAATCATTTTTGGTGACATTATGGATCAAACTTTACCAGAGTTGTATGATACATCTCTGTCTGTTATTTTTGACATAGGATAAAGTCATTTATTTTTAAATAAGTTAATGCCTCCAGTAAAACAGTATACATTGAATAGCATACAAACGTCTTAAGTGTGAATCTGCTAATGTCAGCAGTTAATTTGAGGCCCGAGATTTAAATAATTAATAATTTTAAATGAATCATGTATGTAATAGAATGTATAAACTTGATTATAATTTAATTATTCTAAATACTTTATTGCATCTTAGGTTAGTATTTATCAACACATTTATTTATGGAAGTTATGTTCAGCTAACTTAATATCAAAAGAAATCAAATCCAGTTGTTGAAGCCATGTATGATTAAAATATGCTAAATATTTCCTATTATGTTGTTGAAAATTTAATACTCAAGTGCAGGACATGTACAAACTCATGGTTCAAGACACAGATGGTTAATTTCATACCTGCTTTCAGAACCAACACAGAATTCTGTCAGTAAATAATTTGTTGGATTTGGTTAAAAAGCAAAATTACATAGTTATGTTAATGATGCAAAACTATTTCTTACACACATTAACAAGACACACAAGTGTAACTTGTTTTGAAAGGAATTCCACATCAAGTACTAGGAGATTCAGCTTGATTAAAATTGTGTAAAATGTTTTAAAGTACCAAGGTAGTAAGTTCTTATTCACAGACAATGGTGGAAGTACAAAAAGATTAACATCACTGATAGCATAAATTGGCAGTTCTTTGGTGTCAGAAGCAGGACTGGGGGTTGGTGGACTCAACAAGACTTATCAGAAATATCCTGTGAGTGATAAAACATTAAAAATTAGCATTAGTTCATATTTTGTGAGGTTGCTAATCTCATAATTCTTATGAAATGGGAAGATGGAAGTACATTTTACATTTTCAGGAATAAGTAAAGTAAAAACACATTGGGGAGGAGCTGACCTTAAAAAAAGGGGGTAACTTTTGAAAAATGTCCATAAAATCCTGCCGAACTGGCCTGATTCACCATTTGGCTAGCAGGGAGCATGCAGACATTTTGCAGAAGATGCTGTCAGATATCCATGCGATGTGTCCCCAACAGTAAATGGGAAGGAGGAATTGGAAGGGGGCAAAACTAAAGCTGGAAGACGCAGGAAATGTTTTGAGGCCTGGAGTGAGCACTCCTGCTCTTCCTGGCCTACAAAGGATTCTAACAAAATTAGTTTTTAAAACTTAAATCCTCTTCCAGCTGGTCAGTATCTCCTGTGGTTTTGCTATCAGGCTCCATGGCAGGCCTCCTCATGACTTCCCATTAATATCAAAACACCGAATCAATAATGTCCTGAAGCAGCATGTTTGCGTACAAAAGAAGTTGTCACCTGCCTATAATGGAAGCCTTAGCCAACTTGAAAGTCAGGCAAATTGTGCAACTCCAGGCTGGGAAATCAACATATCCTAATTTTAAAGCCTTTCATACACCTTCGTCACAGGAAGAGGGGAGGTACTAAACTCAAGGTCCATCTGTTATTTTAAAAAATTAAGCTTCATATCCTTAACAGAATAATTTTGTATTCTCGTGGTTAGATGCATATAGACTTAAGGATCTCAGTCATCTGTTTCAGTGCTGAATTTTATGATTACTGAAAAGAACAAGAATTGAAGCAGAATAATCTCATCCAATATTGCTAAAACACTTGCTTTCAGTTAAAAAGAAAGAGTTTGTTTGAAGGAGAATAGTAATATAAAAAATATGAAAAGAGTACCTTATCTGTTGAAATTTCCATCATTAAGTAAGTATTCAGCACTTTGGGTTTCTAAACTCAGCTAGGAGAGTTGCAAAACTGATCTCAGCTTTGAGACTGCCTATTAATTGGTCTCACTAAATTCCTAGATGGTAACAACTGGACAAGCCTACATGTCAACCAGGTATCTGGTGTAAAACGTTAAGTACCAGTCCAGTATTCTTCTGTGGCAATGAAGTTCTCTGCAGTTGTCATTTTCTATAGAAGTAAAATCTGGGGAGGGAAGAGGAGTTGTAATAACACAAACCATTTATTTGTAGGTTACTTTTATAAATCACCTTCTACCTTCTATTGGTTTAATTTCTGGCTGCACACTGTTCCCTCATCAGGAGAGTGGTCAGAACATTTCAAACCTTCTGTTGCTTCATAACCAGCTTCCACAACCACAAAAAGATTTCTTGACCTTCCTAAATAGATAATACCTAATCTGGTTTTGATCTCTTCCTCAGCAATAGCCAAGATGTGATCCCAATTACATATACAGCGAAGTATTAAAATGGACAATTAGATATCAAAACATGTATAAATAAGTTTGTTGTAATATTAGTTGAACTGTTCAATCAGGAGTCAAAAAAAACTACTTGAATATTTTCTCTAAATGTGTAGTCAAAAACTAATTTTAGGGCTCTGTCACTGAAAGCCAGGCTGTACATGTCTTAAAATGTAATTAATACTAAAAGCAGTTGCTAACGTGTTAGAAACAAAATTTGAAATTGCTGGAAAAACTCAGCAAGTCTGGCAGGATCTTTGGACAGAATTTCTGATTTTGTTTCTAATTTCTAGCATCTGCAATTTTTTGGCATTTTGCTAAGCCACTAGACTTTAATAAATATAGTTACAGTACTATTTTTGAAAGTAGTTTAGCTTTCAGTAGTTGGATTATTCTGATTTAACAAATGCAGCTTTTTTAGCACTGTAGAAAGTTAAATCCTTGTTAAATTATTTCTGAAAACCTTCAGTCAAATTACTTTGGCACGCATCAACACAGTGAGACAGTATATAATTTAGGTATGTTAACAAAGGCTATTTGTAATTTAATAATGCAGTTAAAAAAGTTCACCATTCTTCACAAATATTTTATACCTTTTGTCTTCTTTTCTCTTTTCTCTTATCCTCAGTATCCTGCAACATCTTCTCTTTCCACAAGTCAAAAAAGTAAGATGGATCAGTGTAAAACTTAAGTCCATCCTTTTTATCATCTCTGCAATAGGAAAATGCAACAATTTCAGCACTTCATAAAAGTTAGGGTAATGCAGTGAATTCTGTCCAGAGGTCTACAATAAATACTTAGGATAACTGCCAACGAAAAAGAGGAATGACTGTACAAGATGATCACTTGGTAACAGCATCGAAAATGACTGCCATGGTAAAATGTCATTGTACTAGAATAATTTTTAAGCAGGACCTGATACCACCTCTATTTGATTTTCAAATTAATTTTTTGATTTAACTGTCATAATCTAACGCGTGCCTGGAATCACTTCTCTTCAATCTTTAGAGATTTCTTTTCAGTTTGCATTCAAAGTCATCTTTTTACATTACAAATATTAAGAAAATGCATGCTTTTTATAAGTTCTCTGACAAATAAGACTATTACACAAGGAAAATTTTACAGATCAATAATCTATCCTATCACTAAGGGTTTTAACTCTGCACTTCAAAACGTTAATTGTCTTGGGACAAAAGAGGTTAAGTGAATAACAAACATTATCTCGCAAGTGAAGAGGGCATTCAGTAGTTCACATATCTGTACAATGCGGTGTCAACTTAATGTTATTACAGTTATGAGCTCTCCCTGGTGGCTTTCCCTGCATGCTTGATGCTGTAACTACAAAGTAGAAAAAATACATTTCAAGAAATACTATCTCAATGGAAACTTCAAGCCAATCTACATACAATAACCTGCTCTGAAAGCTCTGCTCACATTTTAACAATTGTAATGAATTCCACAACAGCAGCTGAGACAATCCACAAAATTGTAAAATAATCAATATTCTAAATAAATCAACCAATAATATTTGTTAAAAAAAGTCAAATCACCCTATCTCCCAACATTAAAAACATTCCAGGATCCTGACCTATGTCCTGTGTAGGTGTAGGGGAATAAGAGGTGGAATAGCATGTTTAATAAAAGATGAGATCAGTTGTTGAATGGGACAGGATTTTGGATCACCAGATCCAAGATGCAGAATCAGCTTGGGCAGAGCTACAAAACAGCAAAGGCAGCAAACATTGGTGGGAGCTGTCTACAAAATTGTAGCAGTAATGTTGAGCATTGCATAAATCGGGTAATCAGAGTTGCAACCAACATGGATAATACAGTAAGGATGGATGACTTCAATTTATATATGGAATGGGTAAATCTAATCAGCACAAAAGCTGTGGAGGATGAATTCCAAGAGTGTGTTTTAATTTCCATTTTAATTTTTTTAAAACAAAATGGGAATCCCAATCCTGCCCACCTGAATAGCTTTGAGACATGGACAGCGTAATTTTGGGGTGGATTAGTATGCTCGCCACCAACAAGCCAAATACACACTAACATTTAGTATCCAGTCAATTGTTTACAGACAAATGAAACTAACAAACAGGGCCAAAAAATTACCTCCCTCCAACTTCAGTGGTGCAAGCTTCAATGAGCATTGAAGATTGTATAACATTCAAGTCAGTATTTCATTTGGAGCATTAATGGATTTAAAATGCTGTTCATTTGTATTATTGACAATAAATATACATACATAACCTAACTCAATATTTCATAATGAAAGACATCTTCACTTCTCAATATTTTCTCAGATTCTTGAATATGTGTTCAAAATGTTTGAAACAGCCAAGTGTTCATGAAAATTCAGAACTAATTTTTTTTGGTTTTAGGGGCAGAAGAGATCATTTTGTCTCAAATATGTCAAATTGCAGTGATGAAATGGTACTTCTTAAATAAAACTTAGCCCAATTAACTACGTGTTTATGAAGAAACCAAATCTAATTTGGTTTAACTTTTCCATTAATGTAGAGTCCCTTTAAATAACACACGTCACTACTGTCTCAAATGATTTGGTGATTTGATAGTCAGCAGAACTAATAAAAGTTTTAGCACAGAACAAAAAGCTATTTCACCTGAACTGACGACTAATTCTATAGTGTTTAACCAAAATGCAGATCCTAAAAATACCTAATGCTTAAAAAAAAGAATGACCACAGTTAGTGATATACACTAATTAAAAGTTTCAAACTGAACAGCCAACTTTAACTGAGATTTTTTTTAAAACTCCAATTCATTTTACAAATTAATACCTGCTTTTTTTTAACATGGAAACTCAATTACAAAGAAAATTTGAAAGTAAAAGTCCCATCAACCAACTGTCAGATCCTGTAGCTAAAGGTAACATGGAAATAAAGGCCATGGCAGGCTTGCTAATTGAAGTGCTTTAAATAACCTGGTACTAATTTTGGCCTCATTTCTCCAGTCATTATTGTATTAATTGCAGATTTGCTGTATATCCATCCATAAACATACAAAATATAATTGAACATAAAATCCAATTCATTGAGTCACACTTCCTTGCAGGCCTTCATATCCTACAAAGTTGGGATAAAATTTATTAACTATTATAACTTTTAACAATCTGGGGATCTTTTACAAAACTTCTGATTCTAACATGGTTGTTATGATTTCGTTGAACTACAATATGGAAAAAAGTTTCACTGCCTGTGATGTAATGTTGGAAAATGGACTGAACACCCATTATCGAATCGGTCAAATTTTAGTCCATAAAATTAAGCAGGCAGAAAGAGGCTATTTGAACTGCAATGCTAGCTCATTGGTAGAACTATACCAACTGGCCTCATTCCCTGATCTTTTCCCTTAACTTTGATACCATTGAAATCAATGGAAAGAAAACCGAACGGACTTTAGAAGTGGGTGGGTGATCCAGCTTATTGGATTGCTTCTCATGAGATGGAGATACCAGTTGAAACCTAAAAATGAGAACAGTGAGTTGTAGGCAGTATTCACCACTCATTGGTAGACCTCACTGATGTTAGAACTGTGCCTGGGTCAAGAAAGTTTGCTACCATTCTGTATTGCAGATTATTCAGCTGACAAAAGCTTTTTCACAGTTGGCTTGGTATTGATGATCCCGCAGGCTATTTTCAGTAGTGACAACAAAAAAACAGCAGAGAATTCTCCGTCTACACTTGTATTAGAATATATGCTTTTCCAATTAATTGTATTTAACTTAGACTTCACTTCCTCTTTAATTGGCAATTTTGATAACAAGAACACAGGCGCAGTATTAAGATAAAATCAGAAAACGCTAGAAATATACAGATCAGAGAAAATCTGTGGTCAGCAGTAGAGTTAATATTTCTGGTCAATGGCTATAATATTGAGATTATATGAATTGAAACAATTAAAATATTTTGCATTTAGTTAAGAAGCAGAAGTTTATTCCTGGATTTTATACCTGAAAAATGTTTGAAATATCTAGCTAATATCAAAAGGCTGAATGTGGCAAGGCTCATCTTTACATTAGCAATACTTTCTATAAGCTGACAGCTGAGCTCACAGCAAATAGGGTTAAAATCATTGTGATGGTTATTTGTGCATTAATGTTGACTAATGCAGGCAGTAGACAATTCCCAGAATTGGGATTCTGTTTCACTTTCCACTACAACAATATAAAGTGATTTTTTTTGTATTTCTAAAAATAAGAATGATTTACATTAATTCAGTTTGACATTTCTATGGTGCATTAATTCAATATCTACTTTTATTTACGTTTGAGAAAGCACGTGAATCAAACCACTAAATTACGAAACATATAAAAGTAAATTAGTTTCCTGAAAATCTCAGTGTGCTGCACAACATACATATTGAAAAAAGCGAGTTTGGCATTTCTTTGCATTTATAGATCAATTGTCTGAATTCAGGGATCCATGACCAAAGTTTTAATGTTGAATTTGTACCAGAATATAAGGGCAGACTGAGGGACAAAGGAAATATTTTTCTTTTAAAAAATAAAGCAGCCAGTACGCTTGATAAGATGTAGATAGTCCCTAGCAAGGCTTTTTGAGGAAGTAACATTGAGTGGGCATGAAAAATCCTATGGTCTATAATATGGTATACCTAGGCTTCCAAAATGCAGAGCTTCACATAAAAAGACTGCTAATTATGTTTCAAGCTTTGGAGGTGCAAGATAAAATTTCTGAACAGATAAAAAAAAGCAGTACTAGGGAAATATACAGCAGGTATGTGTTGGCAAAATGATGTTGGGATGGGCCTATGTGCTAAATAGAGTTCTGATGGATCCATGCAGGAACTTGTACTTTATTTTAATTTACATTAAAGAATTTAGATTCAGAAGCTTATTGCAATAAGGTCAAATTTGCATGTAATATCACACATAGGGGTGGGATAGTTGAATCTGAAGAACTGAGCAGAAACATACAAATTGGGATAGATGAAATGTGAGAGAAAAATCTGTCGCAGATAAAGTATATGAACAGGTGTGAATTATTACACATTGGAGGAAAATGACATAACCATCATATTATGTTGAAATAGCTGAGAACTAAGGATAAATGAGATTTATTGATCTTAATATGTCCAAATACTGAAAAATAGTAAACAACAAATACCAAATTGGTGGCAAATACCTTTGGTAGAAAAACAGGAAGGCAATTATTATCCGAATGGTAATAAATTAGGAAAGGTACAGGTGCAATGAGACCTGGGTGCCCTTGTCCACCAGTCACCAGGTGCTAAAAACACACAGCTCAAATTAGAGGAAATCATTCCTAAACTCTAAAACACTCTGGTATTTTGTCAAATTCTTGTCAATAAAACACAAGGGATAAATGATATGGAGGTAAAATCAGGGAGACCAGAAAAAGCCTTGAAATCATTTAAGAAAAGGCAGATGCTACAAAATTTAATACTTTCCACATGTATGAATTAGAATGATCTGACCGGCATTCCTCATGTATATCTAACCTGTGAACTCAGCTGTTTACATCAAACTTATAAAACTGCACCAAATTTCTACTGCTTATGATCTTCATAATGGGATTTAGATAACCACTGCAAAATCAAAACAGAAATGCTACAGATGCTCAGCAGAGTCAATTGCAACTTGAAGGGAGACTAATGTTTCATGCATAACCCTCCATTAAAGTTAAAAGACTGTAGAAATTATGCTGTTATAGGTTATCCTGTTTTCAGTTTCAAATGTTTTACTTTTTTTATTCTGTAGATTATGAGCATTACTAGACAATATTACTGGACTCATTGTGCATCTCCAGCAGCTACATTTTAGTTTTACTCCTACAACCCATTTGACCATTTGTAGAAATCGTTACTGAGATTTTCAATTTAAGTTCTTCTCCCTGGCCTAACTAGGGCTTGACAATCAAGGATGAATTTATGCTTTCCTGTTCACCCCTGCCATTTTACTTTCTGAATGTTTAAAACCGTACTGCATTTCTACTAGAGTCACTGAGGCTACCAACAAATGGAATGCTATGGAAGGCTTCTGATGTTCCATGTCAAACTCAAAATGATCAAATTCTGAAGACGAGTCACACCAAACTCAAAACGTTAACTCTGTTTCTCTCTCCACAGATGCTGCCAGACCTGCTGAGTTTCTCTAGCATTCCCTGTGTTAGTTTCAGATTTCCAGCATCCATGTTAGTTTGCTATTTTTGTAAATATTACAGGGGCTAGGAATCAGCTACAGTCAGATGTCCAGAAGCAGAAGTCCCATCATACCAAAAATATATGGCAAATTCACAAAGTAAAATTCGTACCTGTACGCAGAAAGAATGTCTAGTGGAGGTGGTCTATCACTCTGTGTATACATTTCCAGCACTGGGTTTGGAGTTGAACTCTTTGAAACAACCTGTTGGTCTTGTATTGTAGAACTTTTGAAAGCTTTCCTCATGTTAATATCCTGCAAAGAAACTATACAAAAAAAGTTCATGTTAAAGCCTTATTTTAAACATCCAAAATTATATACAACTAGTGCATTACACTAATCTACTTCTTTACTGGCATTTCTTCATGGACAAAGATCTTAGGAAGTTTGCACTCATTGTTTCCAGTCCTGCTGGTGGCTAGTCAGTTTCATCAGTGACCTGCAGATGCTCCCACGTGCATGTAAGTGAAGTTTTGTCTCTGCTACAGGAAACTGAATCTATCCTTCTCCTCTTTTTCTCTTTCATGCTGGCTCTTCACTCAGGTTCAAATGTGTCCATAGCAGTGCTTAGCATTGTCAGAAATCAAGAACTATGGCCTG